TTTGAAGAAGTTCTTTTAGATGGATGGGAATTGTAGTTATTGAATATCGTAATGAACTGCTTCGAGAAAAAGGTGTCCCCAATCGAGAAGCTCTTCTTGTCACCTGAAATTGTATCATTTATTGATTGCATTGGCACTGTGACCCTGCACAAGTGAGATCAAACATAGACCTGCCATTTCGAGCCTTTTTTTAGGATTCAATCCACTAACCTTGCTCGTTCCACCAAATGAAACTGATTCTTCCATTTCACCATAAACTCGATGAGTTTTCTCACATAAATGCCGACGTTCGTCGCAGTTTACCTCCAAGTACTGAGGTGGTCGTGTTCGGAGACCAACTACATCTGTAACGAAAACAAATAGAAAGGAAGCTCAGCAATTTCCAGTCAGTTTTTACAGTACGGCTATACCCAACCGAATCACTTCTGAAGGTAACATCCTACCATCGTTTCTTCTTACCAGGTCTACGTTTGGGTTTACCTCTGTCTGGCAGGATGTGAACCCAGTACCTTTCTGAAGTTGTTTTATAATGATAACTGCTGTTTTAGGCCGTAGTTCGCGTTCCGAAAGTTATCCAGCCCAGTACTACCTTTTCAGTTTACAATGGACCTCTAGTTTCTCTACCGCACACAGCATTATTTTTGAATTCACGACATAGGACTGTGGACCATAACAAAAGAAGTATAAGGCTAAGCATAGAAGCACTAGAGAAGCTTGAATCGCTCGATCATCCTGCTGAGAGTAACTCATGACTGTCGACCATGTTGCCTTCAAGAAAATTGCAGCGATGTGGTGGGCGACAGAGCCATGCCAAATCTTACTACATTAGGATGCGTTCATACTTTGCGGCAGCGTCCATCAGCGCCTACCAGCGTCCACCAGCGGCCACTAGCGTTCCCAGCATCTAGCGTCAGCGACGAGGAAGGTATAAATATCGAACTGGTGTCTGCCAGCGTACCAGCGTCTGCCAGCCTCTGCCAGTGTCTACCAGAATCCACCAGCGAATGGGAGTAGAGAGTTTGGGGAAGTACGCTGCGAAGCATAATCATAGTTCCACCCATGAATCTCACAAAATCCTGTCTTACACGAAGTTTTCCAAAATGCCCCCATACAAAAAATGTGGTAATTACCAATACCAATTCGCATGCCAACAACAAACACTAACTTGAAAAAACAATTTTTTTCGTCAATTTTTTCAAAAATGGTCGTTCTGACAACGCAGCAAAAGTATAGTTCCACCGAACAAATCGAATATTCCAACAACAAGTGTACAATAAAATGAATAAATTTTGATCCAGTAATCTATTGGAACTCTATTTCTCCAATTAAGTTGGAAAATACGGTTGCCCATGTTCGATTAGAGATTTCAGTAGGCTTTCGGCCGACTGCCCCAATGATTAACTCCCTAAGCTCACGGACATTGTGGAATTGTGCATTACTCTCATGGATCATACGCACCATGAAGCCCCTCACATCCTCGATTGGGTTTAGTCGGGGCTACTCGCTGGCCAGGGCAAAAGAGCGGTTTGGTGACAACTGAATCACGCTCGAGTGCTTCGACTGTCATGAACTGGTGCATTATCCTGCATGAAAACGGGACTTTCTTGCTGATTTCTACGCCAGAAAGCAAGGAGACGTCGTCGCATGACCTTTAGATGAGGAAGAAATCATTTCTTTTTTCATACGGAGCACAGTTTCAGACGTTCCATTGATGCGATGGCAGCCCAGACCATGAGACCACATCCACTGAAGTTCCGCCCGGAAAAATGAAACTTGTTTTCCTCAGGTCGTGCCAGCGGAATCGGTTTTCGTCTGAGCCGTCGCAGTTGAATTTTTTCTCATCAGAAAACACGACCGCGAGAAAAAAAACTGAAAAAAGCAACACAGACAAGCAGTAGGGCACCGCATCGGCAACATCTTCGAGCAAAGCCAATTCAGGTTTTCGCGATGGTTTTTTGTTAGAAACAGTGCCCAACTCATATTCCTCCTATGGGTGAACTCAGGAGTTTTTCAAGAGACGCCTAACAGTATCCTTCGAGACATTAACCTGCGAAGATGACTTAATTTCCCGACACGACACTGCAGAGTTGGATGCTTTCCTCAGGATACGGCGCTTATTCCGATCGGGCAGCAAAGGAGGATGTCCAGAGCTCTTCTCAACTCAATATCCTGTAGGTCCCTTGAAAAAATTGTTGATAGCATGATGAGTGCAGCCCGAAATCCGAGGCATTCGACAACAGTTTTTGAGACTTCTTTGTGATAATCTGTCCCTTTCCAAGGGCCTAATGAACTTCCACTTGCCATAGCCTAGAAATAGGCAAGAAGTCATAATGATGAGAAGTTTTACCTAACAAAAATGAGATGCATCGGAAAATATGCGGTGGAACTATACTTTTGCTGCATTGTCAGAACTTGAAAAATTGTTGAAAAAAAAACAAACAGAAATTGTTGAAAAAAATTGACGAAAAAAATTGCTTTTCAAGCTAGAGTTTGGTTGGCATGCGAATTGGTATTGGTAATTACCACATTTTCTGTATGGGGGCATTTTTGAAAACGTCGTGTAAGACGGGATTTTGTGAGATTCAGATTTTGGAACTATGATTATGCTTCGCAGTTTAGGAGGGTAGCAAAGATTAGGCGTTGTGAAATTCGAATGTGAAATGTGAAATAACCACACCGTACGACACACTACGTTGTACATTAAAATGCATAATTCTTGCATTAGCAGTTGTGCGGTGCGGTTGCACACGCCGCAATTTCACGACGCCTAATCCAGCTGTTTGCTACCCTCCTACTTCTCCATACTCCCTAGTCCCGGTCGCTGCAAACGCTACCGCAAAGTATGAACGCAGCCCTGGAGAAGCTCAAGCAATGAAGTTGTTCCTGTTGACGAATCCCTTTCCAAGAGCAGCCCGCATTCCACTTCCATTCATAATCGTGAGTTTTTTGAGGCCTATGTGGCCTACGATACGGACTGAGACTTGTGTGCACCAGCCAATGGACAGGTCACTTTATGTACAGATCTTCACTTCTCTGAATCGGTATAACACCAAATAACTAGCCGCGGAGGGATGAAAAGCCTGGTTTGGTAGGGCGATTGCTAAGCCGGGATTTGAGCCCGAAACCGCGCGCATGGTACGCCACTGCCCCTCCTCCTCCCTGCAGAAATGATGAATATGAAGACATCCGAGTCAACATTTTCGAGAAAGTTGGTACCATCGAACTTGCCTGAAATCTGACTTGAGTCCCTTCTTGGATGTAAGGTTGGCACTGAAAGCGTTTTTCGTGAGAGGAATGGTGACGGCGTATAACCAGGATTATTGGAGTGCTTCCGTAGAAATCCAAAGTGTTTGTGAACAACCATGGAAATTCGAGCGAACATAGCAATCTGAAAAGCCCTAAATTAAACAACGTAAAACAAAAGGGACTCACAACACACCCTATTTTCTGCAATATAAGGCTCATCCGAGGCGGAGGTGGTCTAGCGGCAAGTGGCACGCTTATCACTCACGGTCCGGGGTTCAAATCCCCGGTCGGCACCCGCCCAGGCCAACCAAGCCTTCTACCCTCCGGGGACGGTAAATTGGTACCAGATTCGTCTGGGAGGATAAAACACTGACTTGTACATCGGCTGGCCACCGCAAGTCATTGTATAGGCCACATCGCATTCAATAAGCCACTACGATTCTGAATGGAAGTAGAATGCGTGCCGCATCCCAAAAGGGATTGATCAACGGCGAAGACTTTACCCTTCTTTATTCAAGGCGCACCCACTTATAGGGC